CATCCATGACTCTGATGACTCGCTGGGTGCCGACCGGCAGGGGGGAGCACGGCGCGGGGCGATGTTGGAAATCAACAGTGATTGATGAGGAGCAGATCAGCGAATCTCATTCGGCAGAACAGAGCTGCCATGTATGGAACCCCTTTAGATGCAGCATTCAGCCGCATCTTAACTTCACACCGGCCTCTCATTTACCAGTGGGCACTTCACATCATCTCAGCACTATCTTTCATCCACGAACACGACATCATCTTCGGTGATCTCAGCCTCGAGGACTGCTGGCTCTCTTCAGACTCCCACCTATCCCTATCCCTTGTTGGATTCTTAAGCGCCGGATTCCGGAGGCGTACTAATGGTGTCTGGTACCACTGCACCCGCACCTCTGGCGAGTTGTTTCATCCACTTGAGCATCAATCTCAGCAGAGCATGCAGACAGATTTGTTCCTGTTCGGGTGTGTAATGTACGAGCTCATGACTGGGTTCTGGCCGGGAGAACACACAGGTAAATCGGAACAAGAGGTTGCGATGATGATTCCGCGGAAGGAGTGGCCGCCGCTTGAGGTAGAGTGTATAGGTGAAATTGTGCGGAAGTGCTAGGAGGGCGATTTTGCGGATGCAGAGCAGCTGAAGATGGAGGTTATGGCGTTCTTAGAGGGGTTAGGGTGGAGTATTGAGGGAAATGATGATTTGGAAGGGCTTAATGTTGCGAATCTATTCTTGAAATAACGGTACAGTGGGAATTCGTGATGAAAAGTTATTTCATTTGCGAGTAGTGGTATGTATATATTGCAGCTCAAAAAACACAGCAAAGACCCTATGCTATCATAAAGGACTTTAAAACCTAAGACTTTGATAAATTTTTCTAGTGTAAAGATATATTGACGTAGTTTATCATTACATGGTATTGATAAACTATATCTATTTGAAAGATAGTGAGGACACTGATAGGAATACTAAGTCACTTCCGCATCATGAGTTCGTTCTCGAAGCCCTTGACGTCAAGGATCTAATTAATTTCTGTGTTCTTGGTACCGCGCAGCCATGCTAGTCGTTCCTACGCCAAATTCATCCCATAGCTGTTGTGGTCAGGAACCCATGCCTTGTCTCCAACAGCGGCTGCTAGACACTCTGAACTGACTAAGGAACATAGAGGTACTACATAAGGTCCGACAGTTTTCAGGCTTGTGAATGTATGTCCGATTATTATCGGCCTGGTACTGTACATTTGGGCCGGCGTATTCTGGGCTATATCCGACAGCTGCAAGGTATATGAGATCATTTCCGGTAGCTGTCGGGTGAGGAGAGAATGATGAACCAATTTCGCTTTTGAAACATGCATATCTTGTATTTGAGGTTACCAAGACAACTACTGTATCTTGTTAGGGCGCTCCTGAGCAATCTGCTTGTCTTTTGAAGCGTGGAATACTCTGCAGTGCTGGTGCTTATTGGGATATTATCCATACACTTTCGAGATGGATATTACCCAGAAACTGCGATATTGACAATCCATTCCTTGTATGTATTCAGACGGTTGGTTTTCTGTTTTTCTCATATCCTATTTAGTGACGAATAATCACAAGGAATAGCTATATTGAAGAAGTCTCTCTGTAAGGTAGAATTTGACGTAGAACAAATCAAATGTCCTTGGCGTTATTTCTAATTGATGTGTGTCAGATTCGAATCGTTTTACAAAATCGCTGAGAGTATAGTCATTTTTGTAGGAGAAATATTTGCTTATGAGCATATTTTGTGCAGGGACATTTCACTAAACCCCAGTTTTTATGATTTTGGACATGGAGTCGCAATCTAGATCGATCAATGCTCTCAGACAACGAAAGAGGACAATAACCTTGTAGATAGACATGGAATAATGGCCTTAATCCAGGAGCTGCCCGCAAAGCTGTCGTTTGACGGCTCTTTCTCTGTTGCTGATGTGAGAAGGATGGTGTGTTGTTGTGCGGACCAGAATCAGGCAAATGTTGCGCGTGGCATGTGCGACTCGTGATTGGCCAGAAGGCTAAGGCGTCCGGATTTGCCTTGAGGAAAGAACCGTCATCTGGCCCTTCCAGTCTTAGCTCCCGCATGCCAAACTCGACCTCATTCATCTCTTTTCCTCCATGTTCCGCGTGTTATCAGCCTCCTCGGACAAGCCTCGACCCAAATCTGGATGCGCTCAGTGTTAAGCCACGATATATTCACTTGCCATCATTTGCAACGCCCCAAACCCCCCTCTGCCGCTTAGCGCCAGGCCTCCAGGTTCTCCCAGCCTTTCGACTACGCCTCGTACGCTCATTCGCCCCTGGGACCATGTCCCCACATTGGTTTCCGAGATGTCGTCGGGACGGCAGATACCCGTGTTCCGGCAATCGCTTGCCAGGTCCTGGGCCGTTCGATTGACCTTCGGATGCGCGATGGCAGTGACAAAAGGGCGGGCTGGAATCTCTGGACTCTGGAATGCTCGCGCGATTGCTAGCTCTGATGGTGTCACAATTCGTATTTCTTAGGATCAGCTTCCATGTTGGTGTACTGCTGAGGAACCTCTCGATTGGTATTAATCATCTTGGTGACGGGCACTTGAGCCGCCTATTTCCCCATCAGGTCTTTCTTTACTCGTTAAATCGAGAATTGCGTGAACAAACACAGGTACACACTAATCTTGGCATATCACCAGTATCCATTTGGCAGGGCGTCCTACTCTGTACGCAGGCATTCCTACGAGAGGACTAAGAGCATTAATACTTCTCCTCGGTTATTGACTTCGTGCTTGTTTAGTTGTGACTCACCTCTCGTGGTGTTGAGAGCTTTTTCAATCGACGAATTCTCTATTTGTTGGCCCACGGTTGAAATTTCCATCCGACAATCCTGGGGGCGTTCTCGATATTGTCATCCTAAGGCGCATCGTAGCCGACTTCCCGGAAGCTTGCTCTGTAGTCGAGAGAATTCGTAAGTTCAAATCAAGCCTCTTGCAAATTCTAAAAGGGTGCTGGAAGGATCACCAAAGTGATCATCGGGAGTCGACGCCTTAGGGATTCGCTTGGCATCGGAAAGCTGCAGCCTTTTTCTATTGTTCCACCACACGTCCCTATGACAAAATCATGCTTGCCAGGTTCTTCGAGTGCCAAACGCTGTTAGGATCTCGCTCGAGCCTATGTCTGGGCTAGAATCGTGTCGAGAACAACGCGTGCGGGGTCGTAGTCTGGATGTGCTTTATCTGACTGGACTATAGATTTGAGAGCAGCCGCGGATACGGCACAGACTGTGGAAGACCTTGATTCCAGTGCGGGTGCTGACGGACATAGCCTCTTTCGATTGGGCCTTCAGCAGTGGCGGTGGGCGCATGACCCTGATTGTGACGAGCGTTTTCTATAGCGTAAGGGCGTGACCGGTGAGTTTCTACTTGCCTCTTCTGCCGAGACTCGTCGCATCGAGGGTGGTCGTTCAGCTGCAAGGTTCAAAATCCGGTGAAAGATTTGTGCACGATCCTGCAGGTCGCAGAAACACCTGCCTCGATCAGCAATCTGTTGGGGCTACCAAGAGGAAGCACATCCGCTGCTTCCATTAGCGGCTTTAAACAGACTCGCCAATAAAACTGTACAGAATAAGGAGACATGAAGCAAAGAAGGCAACGCATGCATGGTGAGGTCCTCCACCGGCCTTAGCACCGTCAGCCCAATCCTGCAAGCGTCTACTTAATTCCCGTACGCCCCTCGGTCCTTCGAACTAGAAGCAACCTCAAATCGTATCAAAAAGACCAAAGCAAAGACAACTTACTGGAAACGCGTCGCATTACCGCCAGGTACACGGAGGCCATCAGACACGAGTGCCGCTCGATACAATAAGCGCCCGCATGAATGTTGGCTAGTAGTGCCTCTACGCCGGCTTATAACCCCTCATCACACGCAGAGCCGCATCTCTCATTCGCTCCTTGCCACGCTCAAGCACGTGCAAATCTCGATCGCGATAATTCTGCGACCATACGAAGCGAGCAGGCACAGTCAACTGATTTACTACCAATCTCCTATTTTACATGGAAGCACTCAAAATATTGCTATTAGACGTTTGTTGTTTCTTCGGAGTGCGTTAGTCAGGTGGGAAATACAACGTACGGGACCGGTTCACTTCCTTGCGTGCTTCTCAGAGCCGGGTCATCCTTCGCATCCTGGGCGCTATAGCAAATGACCTGATGTCGAGCGTCTTTCTAGCTGAATTTTCAACGGACCAGTTCTCTCCGGTATCTCACGCCAACTGCCGTGCTGGACAGCAAACCTGGATCGCTCTGCATGGAGGGATCCACCCTTCGGCTCACTTGGGCACGCGCGGTGGCTTTCGAGCCACTGGTTAGCCGGCGGCCAGAATCGGGTATTGCTCATGCAGGCTATGAGACTTGATTGAGCGCGATGCCCATCAGGCTAGCTGACAGCAGTGCTTTTTGCTAACTTGCAGCTAACAGGCTGGACAGCTACGAGAACCCGATTACCACGAAAACGCTACATACCAAGCCCACATCTGCGTCGTGTATGCTCTCAAAATTCCACTCATATCGAAGAGGGCTTCTCAAGCACTATTGACATAGTATTCGCTGGCATATTAGTCTCCCGGCGAGATGAAACAACCATATGACAACTCGCTATAGCCGCCTATGGTATGATGGCATACAGCGGGGTAGAAGAAATCCAGCTGGCTTCCTATCGCATGCAGCCGATGTAGGATCGTGCGCCATGCATATTTGGCAACACTTCTAGCTTATCAGAGGCTTCGTACAGATTCCTGTCCCGCGTCATCGTTATGTAGGAGCTTGTCGTCTGACACTTTGAGTAGCATGACTTTTCTCAGAGCCGAAAGATCGCAGAGCCGCATGGCGGAGATGAAGGATAAAGCGGTCGGGTGATGAGGGGGAATCACAGTACAGAGCAGGACAGGCGCATTCACGGCACAGCCACATACACACCTTATTGTGGGTCTAGAACATATGCAAAACCGCGGATCTACAAATTTTCGTCATGGTCAGTCACTCACATTCCGTTAGTCCTTCAGGGTTGAGACTCACGAAATCAAAGCCAAGATACTTGTTCAGGATCGACGAAATAGGCAAAACTCCAAGCGCTTCGCATACGTACGACAGCAGTGGGCATCATGGGATACCCGCCTTTGAAGCAGGAGCCGTTAGGTCAGTGGGAGGAGGCGTGAGCGGCCAGTGGTGGCAATGTGACGGAAATCAGATTCGCGGAAATCAACAGCTTCCACAAGGCGCTCGGCCATACAACACGTACTCAGTATTCTATATCGGGGGTTTTGGCTTTTGGGTTCTGAAAGGTGACGCAACCAACGCAGAGACCTACAGAAACTCCAGCACCTGGCAGCCTCTATACTTTCAGCACGATCCTCGTAGGGAATACTCGTATCTTTGTAATGCGGAACAACACCGTACAGTCGATCTTCGAAGAAGAGATCAGAATTGGCTGAGGATGCTGCTACCCGATATATATTATGAGAGTGCTGCGGAGGTAAACCATCCACGTTGTGGAGGTCTCAAAGGAGAGCTGGGTATATTTCTTGCTCTCATCGCTTTTGCTATACGTCCGCAGGAGTTGCAGGCAAGACTGCCTCAAATGTTTACGAATGGGAATTGGCAAGTACCCGGTACATTCAATCATGGGAGTGAGTCAAGCCAAATTCTTGGTGTCGCACAAAGTTTGGCTAACCTTTTTGCCGACAGGACAATCAGAAAGGGGTGTGGTCGTGTATGTGTGGACCTCTCCGCCAACCACGGCCGACGAACTTCGTGCTTATGAGCTGGGATACCAGACCAGGTATTATTATTAGTTGCCAACACCTGATGGTCCCAAATACTCGCCAAGTCTAGATTTGGCTTTCAACCGAGCGTCGTATCAGCTTTACTGGATTTTTTTCTTTGTCCACCCAATTCTGTTACACAAGACGTCTCTTATCGCACACTTTTTTTTTAACTTTTTTTTCAGCTCAGACTGCTTACTTCCTATACGTTTTCAACGCGGTTGCTCAGCAGGAGATGGAGTCTCAACCACTGTTGACATTACGAAGTTACGACTTATGTGCCTCCTTTGCTGCAATGTTGGCAGCTTTCTTTTTCCCTTTTTCTATACCTCTCCTTGATCAGATTGCATAAGTTCACGTTGGCTTCAGGATGAAGAATAGCTCATATACGTTTGATCTCTTTACAGAAATGCACAACTCTCTTGCTGCTTTCGAAAAATACATGGAGCGAATAAAGATTCTTTGCCTGTGGCGTGTGACTACTAATTACACAGTTTGCAACCACCATTGTTTCTCGTTGGTCAACGAATGCGCCCTTGATGATCTTCACCACGACCGATTAGCACGGCCACGTAACGACCCTGCATCACAGTCCAGAGACCGACACGTACATGGAAGCTAGTAACTATGCATATGGAGAAGGCTGTCTAAACAGGGGTATCATGAAAATCCAAACAGCGCATATACAACATGTGCCATCCTTAGCTCGGCATACCCCATACAATGACATTGCCGTCGCCACCCCCGCTACACCATTCAGGTCTTGTTTGACAAAACGCCACAGCAGACACGAGATCTTTTTTACCCTTTACGAGCGAGGTTGGCGGTGATCCCTTAACCTCTGTCATGTCCGAGTGCTTAAACTTGTGAAGACAGCTTCCTTGGAGCATATCCCATGCAAACACAAAGCCATTATCACTACCGCTGACAACGACGCTATCGTTCAAGCCGAGTGTACTTCGAACTCTCAACTCCGTATTAACAAAAGCGTCGTGCTTGTACGTTTTCAGGAGCCCGCCATTGATACGATCCATAAGCCTGATGGAGGAATCAAGCGAGCTAACAAGGACTTCTGTCCCCTTCTTACTCACAGTCAAGCTCGTACAAGATGGCCCTATAACATCGACTTGACACATGCCAGTTCTCAAGTCATAGCTTCTGATGCGTCCGTCGACACTCGCCGCCACGATCTCCGCGTCGTGAATCGCGACGTCGGAAACGCTGTCCTTGGCGTCAGACAGCATCATAATGGGCTTGTAGGCATTCGAGCGCACATCCCAGATGCGAACTGTGCCGTCGAAACTCGCGCTGACAATGACACTATCACCCTCACCGCCAAAAACACCGCGGTTCACGCGTCCGGAGTGTCCTGTCCAGCGTCGCACCGTCTGCGCGGTTTGCACGTCCCAGAGGAACACAGTCTTGTCGCCGCCTGTGCTGACAAATTTGTCGTTGGCGTGGTTTACGTCGAGGGAGAGGACTTCGTAGCCGTGTGCTGTGTATTTGTTTACGAGACCTGGGGGGCGCTGTGCAGATTGAGTGGGTGCGACGGAGGTGGGCGGTGCGTGCTTGGGGTTGTAGAGGCGGATTGTGCGGTCAGAGGACCCGGTCAGGATGTAGGATTGGGTGCCGGAGGAGTAGGCGACGGCGTGAACGATGCCATTGTGGCCGACCAGTTTGGCAGTGGGGGTTGTGGGGAAGGCCATGTTAAGGTAGTGGTGGTGGTGAAGGTGAGAGATGTGTTGCGAGGTACTGGGACGGTTGCGATTTGATGGCACCGCTCATCGAGGTACGTGCTCAAGGCATTGTGGGATGTAGAGGTATCTGGGTGAAAGGGCGATAGTGGGATCTACGGGAATGTCGTGCCGGATGTATTTCTGCTATGCGACAAAGATATCTATCTTGCGACACGTAGGAGGAGTAGAGTTGGAGGAGAGGACGGAAATGCATCGGTACCTGCCAAGGCCGAGGTGGGGCAATGACGCTCAGTTAGCTCCCGCGACTTTTTGGTCTCTCTACGCGTCAACAGCTCATGAATACTTTATATGCAGATATCTTCTTTTCATCTTTGGTTCTGAATTCATAAATGAAACAGAAACATCATAAAATCTCACAATGTCACTACAAAATCTAAACAGCCCGCCCAAGGCCGACGACTTCACCCCGCTCTCAGAACACCAGCAGCAGACACCAGCTTCTTTCTTTGGCGCAAAGCCCGTTCTTCACGCCCACTATGAAGCCATGACTCTCTCCGTTGCTGCTGATCAGCTTCAGCAAGACGCCGCATTCAGCAAATTCAATTCAAGACGCGAGGGAGAAGAGGATTTGGTAGACGGGGTTGACGTTTGGGTCTCTTCAGAGCATGTCACTTTCCTCGCTATAAATAATGGCCTGTGCTAACCAACTTCGTAGGAATCTCATTCTTTTCCAGAACACTCCCTCTCCCGTCGGCGTATCTATCCCATACCCGTCTCTCGCTCTGCACGCAACAATGAAGTACAAGTCGACCATCGAAGCACTGTACATGAACATCTCACTCAACGACGCCGAAACTGTCAACGAAGACGATGACATTCGTATGCTGGAGATTACCGTTTTGCCACCATCTTACGCGACGAAGCCTACCGACACATGCATTTCCGAGTTCTTCGCTGCGCTGAACACATGTGCGGATCTTCATCCTGACCCAGACGCTAGCGACGATGAGGGCGATGATATGCTAGATGACACAGCGCCTGGTGCATCGGGTTGGATTACAGCAGATAACATGGACGAGTATCTCGATGAGGACGGTAACTTCAAAGGCATGGTGGTTGGAGAAGAGCTGGGTCCAGGTGCCGGCACAGTAAGGACAAGGGAGGAGGCAGACGATGGATCGAATGGTGTCAACGGAGCTGATGGGCACGAAGAAAAGTACCACCGTACGGGCTAGGTGTTGGGCAAAACAACAAAAATGTAATGAAAATGATGAGTTGAATTTCTAGATGATACCCCATGGCGAAACCTCCTGTCTCCGGTCGGATAGCATAGCTTGTACGGACACTTGTACCAATGAAAACCCATACGTGCTGACAGCCTCAACAAGTGTCCTCCACTCTATCCAAAAAGAAAAAGATACAGAATAAGAAATCTAAAATTAGTACAACATCTCCATCGTCTCATCGCCACTGTCAGCCTCTCCAATACCCAGATCAAGTCTTCCCCTTATGAACATCTAATCCATTATCGTCATCTCCTCATTCAATCATTCGAACCTCATCTCCTTCTTGGCCATGTAACCTCCACCACCTCTGTGCCGCAGCTCCTCTTAATGAATTATGTAGACGAACACACCCATAGCAGTACTAATGAGCATGGCAGTGCAAGCTCAATCTCCTCTTCTTCCTTCCAATCAGGACAAGGATACGCAGCGTATAATCTGCATATCGCAGCTTCCAAGCCATTTCAATCAAAAACAACCGTATCCCCAACCTGAGCTACCGCGCAGGCGACGACGGCAGCGCCGGATACGGCGCCTGGCTTCTTCCAGGTACACTGGCAACAGGGTCGGGCTGTGTCACCGTTGTCAACTCCGCATGTTGTGCATCTGTATACGTCGGCGGCCACCCAGCAGGGGCCGTCCTTTCGGCATGCATCCTGCGTTCAATATCCATCCTCTCTACATTCGAAACGACCTTGTGGTAGGCAGGCGGCAGCATATCATCTTCATCCGCTTGTTCTGTGGCTGGCACGGCGGCAGTCGGGCTCACACGTGCAGCAAGAGCCGCTTGACGACGCGCATCAGCTTGCGGATTCGTATTCATGGGCGGCGCAGATGAAGCAGTCGCTCTAAGCTGCTTATCGCGGCTTCGCTTACCGATACAAGCGATGATGCCTATGGCGAGAGCGATGGGGACTATGATGCCGATTATTATGCCTGCGGAGGGAGAGTCGCGTGTGCTATTTGTTTTGAATGCTGCAGGATTGCTGACGCTGGTGGGGGTGTAGTCGTCGTACCAGTCCCAGAAGTCGGTGGTTGATGAGGGGGGTGGGGTTGGGTCGGGTTGGTAGTATGAATAAGATGATGAGGAGGACATTGCTTGTTGGAATTCGAAGTCGAAGACGCCCTGAGGGTAGGTTTCATTATAGCGGTATCGTGTATTTGGGTTGGAGTTCCTGGGGCTGCTGGATACGATGAAGGGTTTGGTTATGATTTTGGCCAAGTGTGCTTCGGGGAACTTTTCGCGATAGAACTGTGGGACTATCTGTTGTTCAATCACACACGCCATGACACTGTCGGCACCTGGCACGGTTGAATATGGGACTTCCAGATCTGGGCTAACTGCTTGGCTAGCTGATTGGTAGGAGTGATACGTCAAGGGTTCCATGCTGAGGATGCTCCTGCCACAGAATGGGAATCCGGTTATTGGGTCTCTCTCTGGTTCCTCCGGGTCAACGGTTGAGGGACATCTGAAGCACCACATTTCCCATGCGCTTACCCCTACGTTTTTTTCGATGTCGTGCGCAAAATAATCCGGGTATCTGGGTATGGGTACTATGACATCGCCCGCGTGGATATTCGTTTCCTTCCAGCTGAATTCTCCATTCATGTAATTCTCCTCGTTTCGGAGCAAATTGTGCATGTACCAATGCAAATCTCCTACGGATTCTATGGTACCATACCAGCGTGGGTCATCCTCGGGTGGTTTGGGCTCCAGGGTAGACTCTGGCAATGGAGGCAGAGCCGGTCCAGATGGCGGAAACCAAAACGCAGGCAAGTCGGCAGACATGGCGAATACACAACAGGCGGGAAATGTGCGAGTTTGTTGGATCTCCACATGATGATAAGTTGCAAGGATCGCGTTTCTTTTATGTTTCTAGGGCCCGAGTTGCGCGGTTCCCGAGGAGGCCTGTTTGGGATACCAAGACTGATGTTGTTATTGCCTGAAGCGCCACTGCGTAAGTAAAGCTTGGGCTTCATCCTTTCAGACCGATAGACGAGCCACCGCGATAACAAGATTGGTGGAGCGCCATGCGGGTGGGCTCATCGTTTAGTCGCGTGATCTTTGGCCTGTCTTCACCGAGGCGTACGGTATGCCTGAACAGCCTCGTAAGGCTGCCCACGTGCCGTATAGCCGGAGAGTACTGTGGCTGGGCGGTGGCGACTTACACCAGAAGATATGGCCGTGGTTTTGACCTGAATCTAGGCTCAGGATCCATATGCTAAGCTACCGTTCGTTTACTATGTATGTAGGCTGTGCCTATTCTGGGCACACGTCGCAAATTCATCTTGGCGTCTGCTCGGACAACTGTTGGGTAGTAAACTCAACCATCTGTGGTACTTAATGTCGTTATAGTACTTAGGCTGTCTCTGGCGCACATAGCATGAGCGTCCTGAGTACATCGTTAATGTTCTGGAAGACGGTTGTGAGCTTGAAAGTACTTTTCAAGTTCGCTTTCACCTGCAGAGCGTGCGTTCCTCATCTATTCCATAAGCGGTTTAGCACCTTTCCTCATACGTCACGGAGATGGTTGCTACATTCCCAAATGGAGTCGTGATAGTTTTCGCATTTTTTGAAGTCAGTACATATACGGACCGATGCTCTGGAGCCGTTATATTGAAACCAAGCATCTTTGTACTGGGGCCTAGGCATGCTTGTTCCCTACTACCGACCACAGAATGTAACTTGGCGACGTCATACTTCGGGCTAATGTGCGGTTCTCTGCTCCACATCAGGTCCGTCCCCATCATCTCGCACAAAAGAACTCCGCGTGCAACCTATGATACCAATCGGACTCCACCGCTCCTAGTCAGTACATCATGGATCAAGGATAGCCATGCCTACCCCGCGGTCCCCCGCGCTCGGCAGTACTCCAACGTGGTATCCTACCGCAGTACCAACCACGAAGAGTCAGGTGGTTACCATTTTCAGGAATGTCATACAGGCTGCATGCAGGAAAAAAATTGAGGTAATCCGTCGGGGTAGGTAGTATGGCTATGGAGTATCGTGCAAATGCCAAGTCATGTATAACGAAGGGAAGCTATAAAGTATGTGAGGAAGCGCGGGCAGGACACTTGCGAAGCCAGTCCAGCGGGCGCCTCAACCCTGGCTTCTTGAAATTTTTGTCTTCGTTTAGTCAAAATGATTGATCGCTTTCTATCCAAACATGCCCCAGCAGCATTACTGTGCTTTCTCGTAACGTCCGTTAAAGCACACCAAGACTCAGCACCACAAGTGAGCTCGGGAGTTGAATATGTCAATCCTCTAATTGGAACAATCAATGGAGGTTCGTAGGCTGCAAGCCTCTGTAATGGGGGACTAACCACAATCAGGTCATGTTTTTCCTGGTGCAACGCTGCCGTTCGGTATGTATCTCACTATTAAGAAATGTAGATGGCGACACGCTGACTCTGCTAGGAATGGCAAAGGCCGGGCCTGACGTGATAGGAGAGAACCAAGGAGGCTTCTCATCAGAAGAATCTGACCCCATTTATGGATTTTCCCACATGCACGACTCCGGTACCGGTGGATCACCATCGCTCGGGAACTTTCCAATATTTGCACAAGCTGGATGTCCAAACGATGACATCAATGAATGTAAATACCCAAAGTACCAGCGAGCGACCAACCGTACAGCGGGCAGTGTAAATGCTAAACCGGGATATTTTGACATTACTTTGAACAATGATATCAGGACTGAGACAACGGTAACGAATCGCACGGCTTTGTATCGCATAACATTCCCGGAAACACCCACGACACCAAACACGACACTAAGCCCGCATATTCTGGTAGAGCTCACGGATTTACCAAATACGCGTAGTCAGGCCAACATGACGGTAGATGCAAAGACTGGACGCATGACTGGCCGCGGACGCTTTGAACCGTCTTTCGGCGTCACCACGTATCAGTCATTTTTCTGTATCGATTTCGATGGCGCTGCAGTCAGACGCGCGGGTGTTTGGTCCAACACCCGAGCAACTACAAGGAGACTGGTTCTAGATGTCGAACCATACGACAGCCGACAAACAACAAGCCAGCGGCCGTCAGGTGGCTGGGTACAATTCGAGAAACCCACCCAGAACAACCAGATGTTGGTCAGGGTGGGCGTGAGCTTGGTCAGCGAGGACCAGGCTTGTGGGAACGCAGAACGGGAGATACCTTCATTCGACTTTGATGGGGTAGTCAAAGCTGCTGACGCTGCCTGGCGCTCTAAACTAGACGTCATCACAATTGAGAATGGAGGTGTGGACGAAAGCTTCCTCACGTCATTCTGGAGCGGTGTATACCGAGCAATGATCAGTCCGCAAGACTACACTGGCGAGAACCCCTTCTGGAAGTCTGATGAACCCTACTATGACTCCTACTACTGCATCTGGGACAGTTTTAGGTCGATTCATCCTTTGCTCACAATACTAGACCCGCACAGCCAGACACTGATGATCAGAAGCTTGCTCGATATCTACCGTAATGAAGGATGGTTGCCAGATTGCCGAATGAGCCTTTGCAAGGGATTCACACAAGGAGGCTCCAATGCAGACATTGTGATTACAGATGCCTATCTGAAGAACATCTCTGCCGGTGTCGACTGGAATTTGGCGTACGAGGCCGTTGTCAAGGACGCAGAAGTTGAGCCCATCAACTGGGATGTTGAAGGTACATTTGCATATGTGATTCTTTCTCCGAATCATTGCTAACATGATATGTTTAGGCAGAGGCGGTCTCGTATCCTGGAAGGCACTCGGTTACATTCCCACCCAAAACACCGATGTAGAAGGCATAGGCACAGAAACCCGCTCCATCTCACGCACAGTCGAATACGCCTACAACGACTTTACCATTGCCCTACTAGCCCGTGAACTCGGCCACACAGCAGACTACCAAAAGTATCTGTCGCGCTCTGCAAACTGGAAGAACATGTTCAAAGCCGATCAGCGCAGTATCATCAACGGTACGGACACAGGCTTCGTAGGCTTCCTGCAGCCACGCTACGAAAACGGCACATGGGGGCTCCAAGACCCCATTTTCTGCTCCCCACTATTAAACTTCACATCGTGCTATCTCAACCCGCAGGGCGGCGAAACGTACGAAGGCCCAGTCTGGCTCTACACGTTCTTCGCACCGGGCGACATGGCAACACTAATCACAACACTCGGCGGCCACGAGCTCTTTACCGCACGCCTCAACTGGCTCCATGAATCCGGCATCTTATACGTAGGCGATGAGCAGGCCTTCCTCACCCTTTTCCTCTATCACTACGCGGGCCGCCCGGCACTCTCGGCCGAGCGTGCTCACCAGTACATCCCCTCGCTCTTCAACGACACCGTCGGCGGCATACCCGGCAACGACGACAGCGGCGCAATGGGCTCCTTCCAAGCCCTCGTCATGATGGGGTTTTTCCCCAACGCAGGCCAAGACGTCTACTTCATCATCCCTCCCTTCTTCGAATCCGTGTCGATTAAGAATGGCCACACGGGGAAGACGGCAACGATCCGCAATGTCAACTTTGATCCAGAGTACAAGAATATTTATATTCAGTCGGCCACGTTGAATGGGGTGCCGTATACGAGGAATTGGATTCAGCATAGCTTTTTTCTAGAGGGAGGCGTCTTGGAGCTTACGCTTGGCCCGCAGGAGAGCGCGTGGGGGACGGGTGTGGAGGATGTGCCGCCGAGTTTGGGGCCGGCTGGGAATGCGACGGGGGCAGGGGTGGGAGAGCATAGGCGCTGGGAGATGCAGGATCTGTGGGGTTGAGTGGGGGGGGGGATGTAGTATGCTTTTTTTGTAGCTTGCTTGGGTGGAATACATGCTACAAGTATATATAGTACAACATGAAGTGTTTGTGAGGTTCCTAAGAATGGAAAGATAATGTTCCGTCCGTATCCGCAATTTTCCATCTCCATCTATATCGCATACTACGGTGATTACTACAGTTCACCACGTTAGCACCAAACACCATCCTTCGCACACAACGATTCTTGTGCAAAGAGTGAATCGACACCCATCAAACCTCCCACACCATAAATTTGTACAGTAACAAAGTCGAGCGCTCACCTTCTCCCTACACTGTTTCAACAACAACAGTTTCCTCAACCCCTACTATATATTCCATACGAAGAAAACTCTCTCAAGATGATTTTATACTTACAACACACCAAAGTGCATCGAACACATACAACTCACACCGAGCAAATCAGGATCAAGAAAAGAGAGAGAAGAAGAAAAAAGGTTACACGAAACAAACCTACCAATAATTTCCTAAAAGTATGTCTCCTCCCAACCCTGGCCACGCCGGACCAACCCCCCATGCAGAACCAGACTCAGACTCAGGTGCAGAAACATGCTCAAGCTCCGACTACGACTATGTGCGGCCAAACAATGGCTACGGCTTCGCGTACGACTCTGAAGTGGAAGCTTGGCACGCGGGGCGGCGCGGCGAGCGCGAGAACACTGGTGGCAGTACGATCCAGCTGAGTGAGGCAGAAGAAGGCGATGTATCTGGGGATACATGTAGCGGGTTTGAAGGCGACTCGTCCAACGTATCAGAAGAGTCGAGCATCGGGGAAGACGGTAGGAACATGGAAGAAGACGTAGAGCAGGGTGGTCATCAGCGGCAAGAAGAAGAAGAAGGGCGATGGGACGAACAATACGACGCAGATCTAGAAGAAGGACCGCTGCTTGGTCCTCCGCCGGCGGATCGTAGTAGCATTAACTATCTTACCCCCACGCCGCGTAGTGGCATTGTGTATACTACGTCGATTACGGCTACGCTGTCTGGACCGAGCGGCGTGCTTGCATCGTTTACGCACCGAGCGGAGCACCATGGGCAAGGGGGGTGGCACGGGCAGGCAGGGCGGGCGGCGGGGGTGAATCATGAGTTTCGGGGGAGGAATAGGGATGAGAGGTTTGAGGGGAGGGGGGATACTGGGGAGGATGTGTATGCGGGTGCTCAGGAAGATGGGGATGAGAATATGGAGGAGGAGGAAGAGGCGATTGGAGGGCATGCGCATCACGTGCCTCATGTGCATCGTGGAATCTACGGGCATCGTCGGGGTGGGAATACGTATGGGAGGGACAATTCGGATGATGATGCGAGTGCAGAGCAGGACGATGCAGATGATGAGATGAGCCCGGAACCCGATAGGAGTGGTGTTGCCGTCGAGCGAAGCATGCGTAACGCGTTCCTGTATGGCGATCCGGTGGTTAGTAAAATGGTTGCGGACGTCTTCATGCAGCGGTATACGCAGGCCCTGTCTGCGGCTGTTGTGGATCAGCCGCCGAATACAGAGTGTCCCATTTGTCTGGAGCCGCCGTCAGAGACGCACGAGTGCGTGCAGATTTCGGGTGTACCGGGATGTATGCATCTTATTGGGCGGGCGTGTCTGAGGCAGTGGTTTGTGAATCGGCCGGATGGCAATAAGGATTGTCCGTTTTGCCGGACGCAGTGGTTGTCGCAGCAGGAGGTTTGGGACATCGAAGACGAGCTGATTGATGGGCTGGTGGTGCCGGGGCCATGGCGCGAATAGGCCCAAGGGGGTATTGATGGATAGGTGCTAGCTTCGTCGGCATCACGATGCTGTGCGGGGGTTCCGGTGGTAGAGCTGGGCTGGGTTGGGGAAATCCCCCTTGCGTCGGAGTCGATCATACTCCGCTCGCAGATGTGTGACATCTCGTGAGAGCGGCATTTCTTCTTAGTGGCCATTTGTCCGACAAGTCTCTTTGCAGCCATCAGCGCATATGAGGACATCCACTTGTGTATTATGGGAAAGTGTATTCACGCAGCTACAGGCGTAGCAGTCACTGTAGATGATTAGATTGATTGTGGGAATTGTCTCATGTAAAATCGCTCAGGTAGCGTGATAGCATCACAGACTGGATAGAAATGGCATGCGGGTCTTTTGATTTGAGGCTGTTCTGCGTGGTATATTTTCCTGTTTTATTTTTCTCGGTACTTACTGTTGTAGGTGTAGATCGCAAGAACTTAGTCGTCTGGTAAATGCCTCGCGCGATACTGGTTGGAGCATTACAGGGGGGGTAGACGAGGGGTGTCATAGTAAAGTCCTTGGTAGAAGAACATCAGAAACAAGAATGTCTTCTCGACCCTGTAGTTTGTTGATCTGCACAAGACAAGACGTCAAGCTAGGGCGGGGCGGGGGGCTATTGCAAAGCGCGGCAGATTAGCAGGAGCCATACCTTGCTCGTTTTCAGGTACACTTGCATGTCCATGTAATTTCAACAATTCAAAAAAGACAAACGTGCGGGTCCAAGCTACTGCATGACCAAGAGATAAAGTTGCGGTAAAGCGGTGAGGGATAAATGATTTAGCAATCCACATGTTCCGAACCACAAATGCCGTATTCATGGCGAAAAAGGGTCAATAAGTGACGTTGCTTTAGAGTCGACTGGAACGGATCGACAGGCTCCACATGGCCTGGGTGGTGAATGTGGATGCTGTTTGAGAAAGTCGCGCGATGCAACGAGCTCACCGGACGGATTGGGTCGAATTCCGGTGCTGAGGATGATAGGCCCAGCTGCGCGTCAGGGATGCAATCAAGGGTGGAGGAAGAGTTCACGATGAATGGCCAGACTACTGATAACACGATGCGTGCCGGATGCATGCCAATGTTGGTGTCGACATGCTATGACGGGTTTCAGCCGAGCCATCCGATTCCACCAGCCGGCCCCGCACTGTTTGGTCTCGCTTAGCGTACAGCCCCTCCACTCAGCCATCGATCGTCGCGGTCCTCATGACATGAGGCGTAATGCGCACGGAACGTGTTTGGAATTCGCTGGCAAACACAGACATCGTGACGTTTCTTTGCCGGGCTAGACTGGTTGGTCGTACGTCAGACGAGGCTTCTGGACTGTCATGGTTTGCGGAAATGGCATCATAGTACGCGACAGCAAGGGGCTGGATCTTCCATGTTGCCCATGGTACAAGGTAGAGCAGAGTAAAGTAACAAGATGCAGGCAGCATAAACAGCTTCGCGGCAAAAGGCCTCTTGGCTGCGGCTTCTTGCGGTTCAGTCGTCAAAACCGGACGTTCTAGCTGCAGATTATGGCAAGTCTAGAAAAGGTCTCCCCGTTCTTCTTGCATAAGGCCCCATAGTAGTACGTGCGAGTCGCTGATGCGCACCTAGACGCCTCAAAGGGCCTTTTCCAGCAACGTGGTTGTTGACAGATAGCTAGCTGGTGCCTGAGCTCGCCGCCAGCAAAGATTGCAGCTGTAGCATGAGCTGGCGAGGGCAACCATTACGGTGCTCGAGGGCGGATGCGTGATCACAGAGGGCTCACTTGTGGCGTAGGTAGCCCGTGTCTTACACGATGCACGGACGGTCCACTATAAACAAGGGTAGTTGGTCCATTGTTCATTTTGAGCCCGAATGGCGAATGACGAGTAGCGGATATTGGCGTGTGTCATCTGGGAACTTTTCAACAGCCGTCTTGCCTGCCTTTGCGGAACGTGGCGAGTGCTCCGCAGCTGGCATATGCAATACCACCGGCTTAGCTCGTCATGGGATGCCACTATGCGTGCCTGGATCAAACCATGTGCGTCACGAACTCCTCTTGTGTTCCTCGGCGCAACGCACGCAGCAGCTTTTTTCAAAGGGCAAGGCTGGCGGGCGAGCGAGAGGTATTTGCTTCAAGCAAGGGGACATGTATGACACGGATGCATACGGCTCAAAATAGCCTGGCGCTCATGCCCGACCACACCGCTCAAACGGGCAAGCAGAAAATGTGAAGGAAAAAAAAACCTGGGGAAGCGCTACGGGCCAGGGGTAACATGGGAAAAAAATGGCGCATGGCTGGCTGGCCTATCCGGCGTGTACCACGTTTCTGTACTAGGAAACAATCTGCTCCCCCTCGAGGGTATTGCATTGGCCCGGGGCTGGAGGTGGTGCATGCATCGGTGCATCTCATGTGTGGAACTTGTCGTGACGGTGCGGGCTGTCTTGTTTCTGATTGTGCGGTGAGTGTGCCCGATCGTGATGGGCCCCAAGGTCATTCGATCCTCCCTCGGGCAATGCTGACGTGCGCAGCGTATAAAGCCGCCATGTGCTGCCCTCGCTCTCTCGAAGCAGCAAAACATCAGCAAGCTTAGCACCAATCCAGAGTTTACTCTAAACTCGTTGCAAGACGGGATCGACGCCAGAGAACTATCCTCATACAAACCTCCAACTCGCCTCGACTATACTTCCCAAATCGGCCGCTGCATACCACAAGCACTTGGCACCTTTTATCCATCCACACAATCTTCGTCTATCAAGTTTAGCACCGCACATCATTATAATCATCATGCCTGCTCTTCCATTCAACTCGTCCGCTTCTTCGTCTGCTTCGTCTTCACCTACCTTGTCACCTACAACGACGCCCTCAATAGTTCTCCATCCCGCATCGGGTATATTTGATCAATCGTACTAAAGCCTCAGTCTAATCTGTCCCGCAGGTCTATCATTAGAGAAGAAGGAGCTGCACAAGCCCCGACAAGATCCAGCACAGGCGTACCGCATGCGTTATGCGCAGTACCTGGCCGCGACCTTTGGCTTCTCAATGCAGGCCGCGCTCGCCGAGGCCGACTGCCAGCTTGCGCCCAGGCGTTCGTCGAGTTCGGGCATGTCAGAGGCCGAGTCGTTACGAACGATTTGAGGAGGCGCGAGGCTGAGCATGTGTTTTACAAAGGGCGTTATGAGTGACATTTAGCGTAATGCACACAGATGGGTGCATATGACGGGCAGTATGTGGTGGGCTTGTTTTGGCGTGCTCTCTGATACTTGTGCTGCAATTAAAAGCGATTGGTTTTTTTCTCTTTGCATTTACATGACCGTGTTGTCGATGGTGTGCGAGGGAGTGCGATGGACCACAGCGGAGGTTGGAGCCCACCAGTGTGTTTAAGAATGTGCGGGGAGCGACAACGGCGACCCCCCACCCGCCAGCTGTTGGATCCGCACAGGGCCTCGAGCGCCGCATCCCCACGCACGTGACCCGGGGATATGGTGTAGCCCTATCCCTCACCAGCTCCCAAGCCTCCCACTCCCAAGCCTCAAGCCTTGCAACAACGCCCCGACCTTTACGGAGCCGCAAGACGTTTTCCGGTCGATCTGAGCCTCTGGCGTGCTCACCTTCCTGTCTCGACGCTGCCAATGCTATTGCTTGGCTCAACAGCTGAGCATGGCACCACTCTCCCCGCATCCGCATTCATCGGCCACTTGTCCGCGACCGCCCTCGACGTATCCGGCCGCGCGATGAGTTCCCCAGCGGTTGCAGTTGCATCCCCCGCGGCTGTGCACCATCGCTGTGCAGAGGCAAGAGTACGCTGCGGGTCTACTTCTGGCTGCGACGGCTTGCCACAGGCTTGATTCGCCATTCCCCGCCTTAGCCAACCGACAAGCCTGTTGGTGTGTGGCGAGCGTGTGGCAGTCAGCAGCTAGCACACTGTGCACACGGGCTGTGGATATATTGCTTGCTTACCCTCGCATCATGTAGGCGTACAGGCTGCTCGCAGCGTCGACAGACCCAGACAGACAGACAAACAGACGGACGGACAAAGTGCTTGCTTGCACAACGTCATTGCAGCACTCAACCGGTTCGCATGCACGTGTAGGGGCTCAACAACAACGGACAGGGTCGGCATCTTCGCGCGAAAGTCAAGCTGCAGGCCAACTTGTTTGGTACACACGGATGTTTCGATGCCAACAGCCTAGAAGTCTGGGCATCGTGGCATCGCCGCTGACAGCCACCCATCTGCGCAGTTGCATCCGTAAATCGGCGACGGAATTTCTTGGACTCCGCTAGCCAAGCCTCTTATCGTTTGTCACCCAGCAGTCACGCCTGGTCCGCCTCGTTGCGAGATGCCACCTGTAACATTCACAGCCAAATCAGTGGCTTCGTTTGCCTTGCCGACGCATCACCTGACTGCTCATGTCGCTGTAATCATCCCCGCTAACGCACCATCTGCTGGGGCGCATCCCCATGCATCGAATAATGAGGCGCCTTCAATGAGCTCGTCCAAGACATCCCCACGCTTGGAACGACCCACGCTGCCCGCCTAGCGGCGTCAACCCCGCCATCGCCTGGAGAGCAAGCGACAAGGCCAGAGCCGCCTATAACTATGCCCCCGCCATGGCCCTCCAGATGGTCTCCCTACCACCAACACGTTACCAGTGTTACCAAATATACTTGAATGGGTGAAACTGTGCTGCCTAACGTCGAGGAGACTTCTCCCAACGTCGATGAACCCCCTATATGTGGTTTAAAGAAACCGCATGCTGCACCAACCCAAAGGCCTCAACAGCCACACCCTAGCGATGGCGACACTGCGCCCGCACTCCACGCTCCGCACACCCTCTCCTCCGAAGAGGTTGCAGAGCAACTGCGAGTGGACGTCCAGTAGGCCTCACTTCTAATCGTCTCTGCTAAAGAGTGCTGCTAACCACAACCCCAGCCATGGACTCTCTCACGCTGAAGCGGAATCTCGCCTCCAGCTCTATGGCCCTAACAAGGTTAAGGGAGCTGAAGGGCTTTCCAT